GATTACGGTTGAAGATGTCGGAGTCAAAGGCAACTAGACAATATGGACAGCAGATTTGAAGAGTTCCAATAGACTGATATACGGAAACGGATCAAAATCGGTTGAAGAATGGCGCAAGGTAATAGTTAAGTTAGATAGAATTAAAAGAAAAGGACGAGAATAGATCAAACATCGATGAAGATAGCAGCAGTTGGTTGAACGAGATTTCAACGAGTCTAGTTGTCACGACACCGATGTCGGAAGACTTGCTGTTGCAATGTGACGATTTCAAATCTGTGCTGCCGCTCCAATTAGGCTCTCAATCGTATATTTCACAGTTGCAAAATGTTATAGCCGACCAAAGTTCCAAGGTTGCACTATATTTTATCAAAGCGAGTTTCGACCTTATATAATTTCCTCATTTCGATCTCGGTCTTCTGGCAGACAAAGGAAGATGAGATTCAAAACGGGAAGTAAGCGCACAAAGTTCTGCTTATCTAACAGGCGCTTTATCCTCATGAGGTACAATGTCATTGCGAGCATCTTAATGCGTTGGCGAATGTTCGAAAATTCTGTTCTACGCTATGTAAGTGCTAGATACAAACACTGATTTCAATGGTTATCAGTTTAAAACCAGTACCTCGTATTCCTCTTGAAAATCAGTTATTAACAAATTCATCGTTACCGGTCGTAAACCTACGAGAGGGAATGATGGTTTGGGACCCTGACCTTGCCTTCATGGTGTTGTTAGCGAACGTAATACCGGATCAGACGTCGCCCAAGTTACCGAGGGTTACGTAAACTGTAGAAGAACTGAAGCAGACAGCGAAAGTCGATGATAAGAACCTACTTCACACCTTTTGGCAGCTGTGGGGGATAGCAGTATGGCGATGGCTGCAAAAGATCAACAAACCCGTAAGCGACAGAGACGGTAATCGATCTGAACCGAGATGGAAGCCAGCGAAATGCCATAAGAGCAGCGACACCGACAGTGGGAGCACACGATGCGAAATTGGAACATTTCCTTACTCATAGAGAAAGAGTAGTGGATAGCTGATGACACCGACTGAATGGACATAGTTCGAGGAGTCTCGTCAAAGAAGCGCCTGGGCTCTGAAATTCTGAAACTCTTTGGGCGGAGAGTTATTCTGCTCAGGTGTCGATTTTACGACACGCGTTCACACACCGGTGTTGCTGTTCTCGCAGAACTCTACCTGAACTGAATGCAGCCTGTCGGTGGAAGAGTGAAAGTTATTCGGCTGAAGTTACAACATGCTAAGGCTTCAAAAGTTTAACAGTTCCTTGCACCCAATTTAGAGGGAGAATTTGAGTCCTTCCTTGAGGAAATGGAATATGCTCTGTACGAAGAGTCGACAACGGAGTCCTTCATACTAGTGAGCGATTTTAATGCGCATGTCAGAGCAGACACTGAAAGTTGGAAAGGCGTGATTGGAAGGAAAGACTCTAGCAACCTCAACAACAGCGACAATAGGTTGTTCCGGTGCAAACAACCAACTGTCTGTTATGAACACTTTCTTCAAGCATCAAAACGTGTTACAGTATACCTGGTACCAGAAATGTAGTAGCTTGTGTACGGAAATCGATGATTGACTTGGTAATTGCACATTCTGATTTACGATGCTACTGGAAGGCATGTTCCATTTAGAAGAAATGCACAACTGCCAACCAATCATCATGCTGTTGCTGTTGCTGGCGCTGTTTGCCGTAAACGATGCAGTTCTGTGAAAAGACCTTGTTGTGGAATCAGCAATCGGACTTAAGTGAGAAATACTATCTTCCACGCAGACGACGACAAAACTTACGGTCGTCATACACAGATCCCAACGATGACCACTGATATGCAAACTAAATGAAAGAACACCTATGCTGGGGCTGCCATCGAAAGCAGCGACTAAAAACCGGTTGGTTTGACGTTTGGAGGTGAGAAACGAACTTTCTGGTGGACACAAAAGGTTAAACACTTTATTGCTGTGAAGAAGGTTGCCTCCAAGAAATGGCTTGGAAACAAAGGACCTTCAGCTCGCATGCAGTACGACGAATCGCTCAAGAAGGCAAAGGAAGTAGTAGCCAATGTGGAAGCTGATTCCTGGGAGATGTTCAGTGTGCTGCTATCTAATTTTCACACGGCAAACACCGTATTTCTCAGACCATCCCTCACTTCTCATACTGAGATAAACGCCATCTAAGAATCCAGAGTCTTCTCGCCAATTAAGTACATTGAGGAACTCAATCAACGGCAGGAAGACTTGCCTGAATATCAACCGATAACAGTCTTCCAGTAGATTGCCTCAGAAGTTGTAAAATGCTTGAAAGGTAGCAAGACTTCTGGAATCGATGAAATTTGTCATGAAATGTTTAAGACATTAGGCGAGCAAGATATGTTGTGACTTACACGTCTATTGTCACACTGCAATGGCTACGGTGAAGACAGCGAACGAGAGTTGTTTTACACCTGTTAAGGAAGAAAGACCATGAGAAGTACTCATTTTACCAGGGCATTATCTTATTGAACCTCCTAGGAAAAGTCGACATAAATGTGCTTAAAAGAATATGCCGCGGAATAATTTACTCCAAAATCCGAGAAGTGCTCTGTGACTTCAGGTATGGCGGAGGCATCTAAGACCACATCTACGCCTTTCTCCAGGTTGTTGAGAAATCACGGGAATTGGCTCATCTGGTTTCCATATGCTACGTTGGCATCCTATGTCTGGACTTCGCATAACTAGATATGGGGTGCCTGGCATCATATGGGATCGATGATCAGTTCCTGCGTGTCCGCCAGTCATCACATTTAGATGACTTGTGCTGCAAGCTTTAAGTCAAAATCCTTTAGCATTGGGACATGTCCCTGTCAAGGCTGCATTCTGTTCGGTCTTCTGTTTGTGTTGTGCCCAAGTAGGACAGTAAGACAGAGCCAGAACAACGAGCTTATCAACAGTGGAGATATGGAAACGATACAGTTGTTGTTTGCAGACAACTTGTTTGCAAACTTATTCTGAAACTTATTTCCAACACTCCATGGAAACGATCGCACCCGAGTGCGGCGTGGTAGGCATGCGCATGAACTTGTCTAAAACAAAAATCCATCTGCTTTTTTGCTCTGTTGTACGTTGCACTTTTCAAATGAAAAAAGTAGCGCTGGAACAGATTCAGATGATCCCATGCCTC